ATGTATTAAGGCCATTGCTGCCTCTGAAGCCTGAGATCAAAGGTAATATTAAACATACTAAATTCTGAATGCCATTGAATATGAGAAGCGTTACCTCAAAATATACATTATTAGAGCATCCCATGGAGAAATCTAGAAAACCAAGGTTAATCAGTGTCATCTCCATGAGTATAAGGTTTTCACAAAAAAAGGGATAAGATGTTACCTCTACTTTGCCTAAGTCATCTGTCATATTGGTTTGAGACTGTTCCAAAATAGAGTTATCCTTGAATGACACACTTTCAACTCTGGCTACATGCACTGATTAGATGTAAAGTGTTTGGAAAAAGAAAAAGAAAAAGAATGAACATACTGTAGCTCTGACTGTTCATGTCGGTTAAATTAATAGAATCTTCGGTGCCCTGTTGATCCCCACCACCTAGTTGATCTGCTGAATTATTGTCATGTGTTGAATTTTGAATTGGGTGTGCCGGATCTCTGGCTTCATCCTTCTTCTCATGATTTTCTGGCAAATGATCAAAACCTGGAAGTCATTGTCACTCCCATTGCTTTAAGAACATTGTATATCTGTCAATGATGCAATAAACATGAATGAAAACACCTTGGTTCTGTTGGTCAGAATCATGTAGCAAGGTAACTGGTGCCGAGTCATTGGTCCCGCTGTTCACTCTTCACTCTTCCAGCTTGGACATCTACTTCCATTAACATTTCAGGGATATTATCCGTCCCTCTTTCACCATAATATATATAGTCTTGGTAAGTATGTTAAGTAACAAGAAAAAAAACCTATAATCACAAACATTGCAGGTCCACAATTGATGTAAGGGGAGTGTGAATGCTGCCAGGAACCCCAGAGTGGAATACCGGGTGCAATCAGGCTTAGTTGACCGGAATTAAATGAGAATGAATATTGTGAGGAATTTTGGGTAAAGATAGAAGAGGTCCACAAGGATGTTCTATTGTAACCTGTCACTAAGATGATGTTTTTAAGCCTGACTTTGGCCCCATGTATATCCAGATTGTTTGCAAAGGGTAATGAAAGCCTGCCATCTATAGGGCTCACTGAGTGGTTACACAAGTTAACAGGACAGTCTACATGTGTAAAAGGTATGGGTTACAGGTTTGGTGCTTATGTAAGTATTCTGTTCGTACTATAGGGAAAGCCGGGAACAGTATAATGGTTAGCGCAGAAGACTGATTGACCAGGCTTGCAGCTAACCACTTGCAGTAGTTTTTGCAGATGAAATTTATGAACTTGTGTTTATTTCATATATCCTGTCCAGCCATATCATTTTTCAGTAAAAGGAATGCACCTCTGTTACTCCTGCACTCAAAGCTGAGAGATCCTGATGTTGATGCAATTCTATGCAAGTATTATCAGGTGAAAATAATACATGACTGAAGCGGCAAAATACATACTAGCTAGAGATATCCACACTAGCACCCAAAGAAATCAGGCTATGGCTGTAGATGGGTTGTGATGCCAGATGCCTGCTAGCCTCTACTTACCCAATCTCCAAACGTTCTTGCCTTTCTGGAAGACCATATGATTAGATGGATCTTCGGGTGGTTCTGTCCCATTAAAAGGTTTCGCCCTGTCTCCTTTGTCACTGATATACCCCACATCACCAATATCAAGGTGTGGATCCATGAAAGGATCAGCTTGCTACAATGGAATTCCATGGCCCAATAAGCCTAATTGTTCAGCATAGATATCTTGGGGTTGAACCATGAGTGAGAGGCAAGAGTGGTGGATCTGAAGGATGGGAAGTTCGGCTCGGAGATAACCTTAAATGCGAGTCTGGAGGCTATGCTTCTTGGAGCAAGAAAATCCCCCTTCTACTAGTTGTCAAGGTATAATATTAATGTGGTATGACACAGATACTGACACAGTTACTCACTATTTCAGATGAAGCAACATCATTAATTTACTGCTTTACACAACTTCGAGGAACATATTGTACTCGGTTCAAGAACGAATCATGATGTGGATTTAAGCCATGCAAATGCTGACCATTTTAGCTTTTGTGTACGTGTGGGTGCAACGGTGGCGATTTCTATAAGTGAAAGCTTCGAGAGGCACTGTCCATCCACCTTCCCAGGGGGCACCGCTGCTGCATCATGATCTGATGGGCTGGAGCTATATATATTTATAATTTTTGATAGTATCAGTGGGAATAAGTAGGAGACTGCGGTTTAATATGGTTGGCCAATTAGGATTTAAAGAACTGACGCGAATTTATAATTGAATGTTAGGGTTGGGGAGTCTGACAGAGTTACTGATGCCTTGTAGTTACCATCTTTCAATCAATGGCCAGATCCAATATTCCTACTGGAATGTTACTATTGGAAGTCCCGAAGAATTTTATGAAAACTTGAACATGATTTCCAGTGGAACAACTTGGATTTGGCCACATTCATTGACTGATCGATTGTCACTCATCCTAGTATGTCTCTAATAGGAACTTGAAGGGTGCATATATATCTAGACAGATTTGGAGAATCACCGTATAGAGTACACAACAATAAGACACAGACACATGAAAACAATGCTTGGATATTGTCATTTACGGCCTGAGGTATTCAGAGAAGATCACCGCCATTCCCTCAGCATCCTCGACCATATGCCAATGTCCGACGTCTTCCATCCAAAGAACTTTCGCCCCTTTAATGGCATTCTCAGAAAAATCAATCAACTGTTTCGGAACCACAGCATCGTCTTTGCCCGCAACAATGATCACCTTTTCCGCTTGTATATTAGAGAAATCGGGATCCGGCGCAGTAATCATTGCCTGGCATCCCAGGATATAACTTCTCTGCGAAGTGCTTGCAAGAGAATGTTCCACAAATGCTTTGACTAAAGGCCTAGAAGACAAAGTTTTTTTCGAGAATCCGGGATTTGCTTTGAATTGTTCTGCAAGAACTGCCATGTCCACATTGCGCATGAGAGCAACTCGGTTGCTTATCCCTAATGCGGGACCTATGAGCACTGATATATAACCGATGCCTATTAACTGGAAGAGCCCTACATAGATTAATGCACTTACCAAGGTGTTTCGTGATTTCCGGATACATAGCGGCGAAGGTTGTGGCTATCAACTACAGTCACGATTTTGAGTCCCATATGAATCAGCTGCAAAGATGGAGACATTAACTTACCCCTCCCATCGAATGTCCGACAACATGTGCCTTCTTGACTTCCAAGGCATCTAGAAGCCCTTTTCCATCTTCTGCAAATCCACTAATGCTTAAGCCTGCACTGTGAGCATTGCTAGACAGAGGACTCTGTCCGTGCCCTTCCAAGTCAAACAAAATGACTCTGCTCCTCTTAGATAGTTGTGCCGCCTCAACAGCAGCTTTGAAGCTTTGGAGAGAAGATCCGAGTCCATGGAAAAATAACACTGCATGGCCATCTTCGGGTCCAGTGACTTCAACATGTAAATATTTAGTGGGGACTCCAATGGAAAGAAGTCGAGTATCAGGAGATATTCCTTGTGTTTCCCCAGAACGACCTGGTTCCAAGGCCAAAGGGATAGCTGTGGTCGAAACCACAGGTGATATTAAAACACCTAGAGGCGGAATGGTGACTTCTACGATATCGCCTTCCTTCAGCGATGTTTTCGTAGCCATCCCCGGCTTGCTATCTAAAAAAAGCCGATTAAATACAGAAATTTCGTAACTATTTGTTATACTCTTACAAAGCGTCCCAGCAGTAATTACATCTCCTGATTGAAGAGTTATCCCCATACTCGCTTTTTCAATTAGCGTAGTTATATCACATATAAGCTCTGATAATTTCTGAGAGTGTTGAATTTCTCCGTTGACTTTGGTAGTGAGGTGTAGATCATTCCACATCAGGGTAGATGAAGGAATAACATAGGATCCCTTTCAATTCAATTAAAAACAGAAAATCTGGATGAGAAATAACAATATCGTACCATGTGGGAGAAAATGTTCAGCGATTTTCCAATGTCGAATTTATGGTTCAATTGTTGTTGGCGAATTATTACCTATCCAATGGTCAGAACAATAAACTTAGTACTTCTTGTGATGCAATACATACGTTGTTTAGAATAACACCGCCCCTAAGAGTTTGCGATTTCATCAGTAAGGAGTAGTCTCTACTAAACAGACGTTCTCACCAGACGTGACCCCAGGCATTGTCTTTCTTAATCTGGGTTCCGCCCTTGCCAATAATAATTCCCAGTTCTCCCCCATACTCCACAGAGGAGGAAATACCGAGATACAAAGGAATAGGATGTCCATCAGGAATGATTGATGAACGTTTTGTGAAAAATTCTGGAAATTCTGGTTGATCCTTCTTGCCATTCGAAGCAAGTAGTCCACTTTGAGTAAAGTCCTTCGAGTGATCACCATCTATACATACAAATGAGATATGTAAAAAATAGTGTAAGATGTCTATAGGATACTCACCATAATTATTCGCCACATGGCATGCTAGGATACCCCCTCCTGTTAACGGTACCAACTTCTCGACGTTCGAGATATCCCTTTCGCTCCCCGAAACAAGCTGAAAGGTATAGTCAGAAGATACAACAGGATGATCCTCAATCAAGTGAAAGAAGTCTGAATAAGGCGATCCTGTTGCTGGATTTAAGATCGCCGTAACTTGAGTTTCATCCTGGTTGACAATGCCAATGAGAGACTGCGATTCAGGAGAAACGCGATAACGTAGAAAGCGATGGTAAATGGCGGTCATAAGGCGAGACGAACGATGTTTGACTGCTACGTTGAAGATGGGTGTGTGAGAGATACCGAACGCCTAATTCACGTTCTTTGTCCATTGTTGAAATCGACTAAGTAGATGATGATGAATGGATCAGAGCGTGGGAGAGTAATATTTAACGTAGCAATTCGGTACATTTTTTCTTGCCCTTATGCTCAAAATCCCTCTTACTTGGTCTGAAGTTTAAGCAAAGGCAAAAGGAATGGCAACAAACGCTTCGTAGAAATACCATCTTAAAAACGGTAAAAATCATAGCCCCACGCGGGGGTCGAACCCGCAACCTTGAGATACCACTAAGGAAGACCTATAAGAGTCTCACGCTCTACCGATTGAGCTAGCAAGGCGCTTAAGACTTTGATGTTATCGATGTAACACGTAGGTAAATTGAAGGCAACCCTCCTGCCACTGACCCAACTTGGATACTTTGTTTCTATGGACTTTCGTTCCCAGTGAGAGATGCTATAAATACATCAAAGTCATTATTGCTCAGAAATGACCATAGTTTGGATCAATTATATCAGATATTATTGGGTATTATAATTTGATAAGTTAAGAAAGTCCAGTGTCTCTTTCGATCATTATTGTCGTAGTCTGTCCAGAAGATAAAATAGGAAAGGATAAGCTCTCTAGATCTTCTGTAAAGCCTTGGTAATGAATAATCGGTGCGTAGTATCGTTCCCGAATATTGAGAAGAAGGCGGCAGCCCATAACACAAGACACAACTTTTAACCATCTAAAGGTAAACGATGAGAAACACACACTGTGATGGCTGTGAGTGACACCACTTACGGAACTGCCAGGTAATAAAATCCGATTGAACCATCAAGGAAAATAACAGTATTAACAATGATTGCTGCTAAAATACTGTCCAACAAAGTTATCTCATTAGCGTACCGATAAAGCAAATTTCTTAATTGGCTTACTTGCCGTAGTATAAGAAGCTGGACGATATAATTGAGCGGACTTCAAACAGTATAAAGGGATTTACTTTACCTGTCGTGGATTAAAAGCTTGAGAAGCGACGATTTTACTCCTTGATACCAGAAAATAACGCCTTTATAAAACATCGCGGCACAGAGAACTGTTTCTGTGAACAAGGGAGGAATCCAGACATACGTGCTATATTTGGGTATACTAGAAGTGTAACAACCTGAAAAGCCAGCTGGTGAAGCAGTGGCTGCATGAAAATTGTAAGAAGTTAGTAGTCTGGTAGATAAGAGGCTCAGAAAAGTACTTGCCTATCACTATCTTAGTATTTTCAACCAGAAGGCATGCCAGAGTACCGAGTCCCAGACATATCGCGAGAGATCCGGTCACCTTCCACTTTCTATTATAGACGGCGTGTAACTAGTTTTCCGGAAATATTTAAGTGAATGAGTGGTTATAAGATAATTTTGCTTACCCGGCAGAGTAAAATGACTTGACATCGGTTGTAAGGCATAGACCAGTATAGCGAATACACATAACTATAACTTACTTTGTGCTATCCCGAGAGCTATCGGAGAGCTGCAGTTGCCATACGGTTGAATCAGTTCCAAGATTGCGACATGAGTTAATGAACCTTTCGTACTATATTAAATTATAACGAAAATAGTCATGACAGCTAACGAAAGAGATGATCAATTGAAACTGGCATCCTGGACCTTTAGATGAATACGTACAACTAAGACGAAAGTGTTCTTTAGTTTCTCTGTGAGAAAGATAAATGAAGGAGGTAGTAATACCTTATTGGTTAGGCTCTGAGAAAATATGACTGAAGAAGGGAAATTAGTCTCCATTTATATCACCTAGCAGGCTCTAATTTCCTACTTTTGGTATCAAATATGAGGCCACAGAGCGGTAGGTAACGGTTCTGAAGGCGGAAGGCAAAATGTCAATGCGCTGATAGCCTTTGAAGCCAGCACGCACAACGATAAATAAGAGCGTAATTGGACTCCATTTCTTTCGCCAAATATAGTCTATCTGTAAAGTGATTAGTCTCATGAAATTGTTGGAAATACACCACAGACTTCAGAATTCAAAGTCAACCCTAATCGGATCCTCTGTCAAACCCAAGTGATCCAAAGAAAATAGAATTCTGAAGCTACCGTGATCATATAGTAGCAAGCACAGGGCCGTTGTTATGGTGTATTTCGTCGTCTGTACTGCATCAAATGAGGATATCAGCTACTTTGACACATATATAAGATTCAAATCGCACTGGATACTTACAAACGCTGGCAAACTGCTGTTCTGACAAAGACATGGAACGGAGGAGGCAGGAAGGAAATAGACCTTAGAAGATAGCTTCTCGCATTCCATGGATGGGACTACCTTTTATAGTTAGCCAAAACTATTAAACGACAGTGTGGCTCAAGTCATAGTGAATGGAGTTAACGTCATTACATCGCTTTGCAGTACGCAAGGCGCACTCTGTTACCGCCGGAAAATTTCCAGAACATCGATACTTGACCAATCAGGAATTGTGACAGTACCATGTTGGGAATCTGATCTATTATATTGTTTGTGAGGGCAGGATATAGTATGGGGTGCTCTAATATTAGTATCCTGGATTTTCCGGCGGTAGCAGAACGCGCCTTGCGTACTGCAAAGCGCTGTAATAGGGTTTCAATTCAGCGCTATTAGCCAAGATCAAGTCGAAAGTCGATTCACAAGAGGACTGCGGACACTCCTGTATACCTAAGTCCGGCGATTTTCGTGATTTTCGGTCGTTCGGCGCGCTCGTTTTGGGCTGTTTTGGGCGGCGTTCGGCGCAATCCGGACTTACAAATGCTGGCGGCGGCGTGGCTCAGGCTCTTGGCCGACGCTGATAACGCCGTCCAAACTCCTCTAATAGGCTATAGAAAGACCGCTGGAAATGCCGTTTCGCGGGCCGTTCTGGACCATTTCGGCGGACTCAGGCGAACTTACCAACACAAAAAATCGGACCTGTGGCGGACTTCAGCGGACTTACAAACACCAAAAATCGCCCCTCATTCGGCGGACTCGCGGGCTTAGGTATACAGGAGTGTCCGCAGTCCTTTCACAAGCCAGGTGAGGCCACTGGGGTGACTAGTATGCGGTGCCATCAGTGCTGGCAGTCTTGGCAAGCTTTGTGCTTGTTGATTTCGTCGAATGAATCGTATGTCCAGAACCAACTTTTCCGGGTTATCTACTTTTCCACTTCTTTTTGTTTATTTCAAGCCATACTATTAACCTCACAAACAGGATACGTTTTAGAATGCTGTGAATAATTAATATTAAGTATTCAGATACTGGTGATCATCTTCCTCGAAGTCGGAGTCGGAGGGTGGAACATGAATGATGCGAGCGCCACCTAACTGTTCCGGCGGACGTACCAAGTACCGCCCCGGTTAATCGTAGCTGCGCTCATGGTTGAGGTGGCTTCTTTCTTTCGTTCCTTCCCGTGAATTCCGGGCTGGAACCATGTCAGGTGTTTCCCACCTCTTCCCTTGCTTGCCTGTTAAGAGCACTCTCATTCCGAGTCACAATTTGTTCCCCTTTCTCCCCCGGGGTCCATGAACATCTTTCCTCTCTTATCCTTTTTTTTCTTTCATTCTAATTTGATTTGTTTGATGTTTTTTTGTAGCACTATCAAGAAATTCTAGATAAGCCACGAAAATATATCCTCTCTAGATCTGTTGTAAGGCCATGATCATTGGCAGTATTTGGTGCATAATATCGTTCCCGAATGTCGAGAAGGCGGCAGCCCATAACGCAGGGAGCAATTTTTAGCCATCTAAAGGTTTATCGATGAGAAAATTCGCCCATGATCATGATGGATGTGAGTGACGTCCCTTACACAGTTGCCATGTAATAAAACCCGCTCAAGCCATCAAAGAAAACAACGGCATTAACTATGAGTACTGCTAAAATACTAGCACGGTGAAGTGATAAGAATTAGCGTACCAATGAGAGAAAGTCCCAAATCGGTTTACCTTCCGTAGTATAACAAACTGGGAAATATAATTGAGCAAACTTCAAACGGGATAGAGCGATTTTTGGTACCTGTCATGAACAAGAAGCTTAAGAGCGACGATTTCAGGTTTACTCCTTGATACCAGAAAAGAATACCTTTAAAAAACATTGCTGCACAGAATACCGTGTGTGTAAATAAGGCAAGAATCCAGATATAGATGCTAGATTTTGGAACACTGGAAGTGTAACAATCTGAAAAGTCAGCCGGCGACGCAGTAACGGGGAATTATAAGAGAATGCCTGTAGTAGCCAATAAGAGGCAAAGGGTACTTGCCTATCAGTAGCTTAATATTTTGAAGAAGGAGGCCTACCAAAGCACCGAGTCCCAGACATGTTAGAAGAGACCTAGTCACCTTTCAATTACTGTCATACGCGGCAGGTATCTAGTTTAGCGTGAAAATAAGTAAACGAACCAGAGTAGACAGTGTTAGTAAGTGTAAGAAAAAATTACTTACTCGGCAGATTAAAATGACTTCACATTGATTGTAAGGCATTGACAAGATAGCGATTATTTAATTTTAAACTTACTATATGCTAACCCGAGAGCTAGCGGAGCGCTACAGTTATCATATACAGTATCAGCCCGAGATTGCAACCCAGTGTGTTAACGGAGATTCCTTACAGTATTAAACTATAACGAAAATAGTCATGGCAACTAACGAGGATGATAATCAATCGAGAACAGCCTAGATGTGAGAGAAAAACATACAACTAATACGAAAAAAATGTCGTTTAGTTTCTTCGGGAAAAAGATAGATGGAAGTAGTACCTTGTCAGTCAGGTCCAAGAAAATATGTCTGAAGGGAGATTAGTCTCCAATTATGTCTCATAGCATGCTAGTCTATACTTCTAGTATCATATATGAGGCTACACGCAGGCAGGTAACGGTTCTGAAAGCGAATATATAAAATCTGGTTAATGCCATCGAATGTCCTATGGCCTCGAAGTCAACACATACAGCGATGAATAAAAGTGTGATTAGACTCCATTTCCTTCGCCAGATATAGTATATCTGCAAAGTAATTAGTCTACTAGTGAGATGGCTAGAAATTAGAATACACACCTCCGAATTCAAAGTCAAAACTAATTCGATCCTCTGTCAAAACCCAGGTATCCGAAGAAGAAAAACGTGAAGTCACCATGATCACATGGTACGCCGTACAAGGTCATCGTTATGGCGTATTGCGTAGTACGTACTGCATCAAAGGCGAAGGGAAGCTACTTTGAAATAACATTGTAATGGATACTTACAATCGCTGGCAAAGACTTGTTGCTCGGAGAGAGACATACAACCGAGGAGAAGAAATATGAGAAAAATCAAGCATTCTCACATTCGATGACCTTTTATATAATCAAAGATTTTATT